GCCATCCAGACGTCCACCCTTCGTCCTTCCCTGTGGAAGAGGTATGTGGATGACACTTTCGTCATTGGCCACACGGCCTCTCAGCATTGAACCATTTCCTGGACCACATCAATTCCAGACACCCATCCATCAAATTCACCATGGAAGTGGAGAAAGATGGCAAACTACCATTCTTAGATGTTCTGTTTGAGAGGAGACTTGATGGATCCTTGGGACATTCTGTCTACAGAAAAACCACCCACACAGATTCCTACTTGAAACCTGATTCCCACCACCACCCAGCTCAAAATAATTCTCTCATCCAAACACTATACCACAGAGCTCATGGCATATCTGACCAACACCACCTGGCCAGTGAATTAAAACATGTACATCGGGCCCTAAAGATGAACTGATACTCTGACCGCACCGTCCGCCAAGCTGTTTCTCCCACCATACACTTGAAACTCCGATCAAAACTATCACGTTGCCATACATAGCAGGCGTGACCAAAAAGATCTCCAAAATCTAAACAAACATAAGATCCAAGTCCGATTCAGTACAGTACATAAAATCCGTGATCTAATCCCATCTGTTAAAGATGTCATTCCTGACTTGCATTACCCTGGAGTCTATAAATTGAGTTGCAGCTGTGGTGATTGTTACACTGGGGAAACGAAACGTCATGTCTCCGATCGTGTCCGCGAGCACAAGTCAGATCTGAAACACGGCAAAATTGAGTCTTCTGCCATTGCCGATCATTGCTACAGCGCTGTGGGCTCTCATAATATTGTCTTTTCTGACACCAAGGTACTCTGCAAACCTTCTGGCTACCATAAAAGGTTTGTACACGAAGCCATCCAGATATACAAACACAGACATAACTTCAACCGTGATGATGGGTACAAACTGAGTAAATTTAGCTGTGACGGTCCCACCTGATGACGGAGACTTGTGTTACCTCCGAAACGTCGTGATTTTTTATTTTATTTCTATTATTACTTCTATTATTTTTATTATTTATTTTTATTTTTCTAACTACGTGACTTTACCGAAAAAAACCCTAAGAGTATGAATCATTGCAGTCACGAAAGCTACAAATCTAGAACCCAGAGGACAAATTGAGAATTGAGAAATACCGAGCCCCGGATAATGCATCAAGGGAGTCATCCATGCGCGGGAGTGGATACGCTTCGGCCATCGAAACTTGGTTAAACTTGCAGAAATCAATGCAGATTCTGAGGTTACCATCCTTTTTTTTAAAGAACACGACAGGTGCGCCCCACGGGCTATTTGACGGCAAGATAATATCTGCGGCCAGCATGTCATTGACAGCACCCTGCACGCGTTCCTTCTCCCCCAGACTCAATCGATGCGAATTTTGACAGATGGGGCTGGCGTCGCCCATATCAATATGGTGCGACAAAAGGGACGTGCGTCCCAAATTGAAATCGTGTTTACTAAAGACATCTGAAAATTCACACAAAAGAGAACACAACTTGTTCCGTTGCTCGGAGGACAAGGATAAATTATCCCCACATAGCTCTGCAACCCATCGATCATCCGAAATAGAAGAGGGATGAGTCGCCCCCACCAATGGATGCGACTCAACCTTGTCGTGTTCCGAAAAGGCGGTGGTGGCATTGGCCAACACTGTGCCAGCAGGAACAACAACCACATCCAGCCCCCCATTAAGAGCATGCAAAAACGCGGCCTGCTCAGAACGAACGATCGTTTGTGCGCCGGCACTAGCATTTGGGAACCCGGCGGAATCTCGACCGTGACATCAGCTAGCACCCGCATGGCGGCGCACGGCGGTGAACGTAACAGTGGTGATGGTGGAAAAAACTACTTGCGACCAGACGTCATTTCCAAGCAGCCCTGGACCACCAAGATCTTAACAGGCATTTTTCGGAGGAAATCAGTGCCCAACAAGCAGGGTACGGCCAGCGACCTGGAGATCAAAAGCGGCCTCAATGCAGCGACATCTCCGATCGCAATATGGGTGTCCACCTGGCCGATGATGCCCATGCTACCGCCGTTCACAGCAACACAAGCGTCAAAGGACTGACGGACTTGCAAAACGGGGATCCACAATAATTGAAAAATAACATCAGAAATAATCGTAGCAGAAGCCCCATGTCAAAAAAGACGCGGACATCCACTCCCTGAATCGAACCAGGCACAGCCGAGAATCCCATAGCCGCCTTGACCACACGACGTGCTAGTTTTTTCTATTGCATTACCGAAACGGGCTTTCCTCTAGCGATCGAACCCGAATTCATAGCGTCAATACACGAACCATGATGCGAATGAATGTGCCCCGTGTCATGAGATGCGTGAGGTGGTAAATTTAGCCGGGTGTCCGATGCGTGACGAATCGCCTGTGGGAAAGGATGTTGAGCCGTCGGAGAGTCCGCAGGAGCCGGAGCAGCAGCCGAAGTCGGTGAATGAGGGCAACCCCGGCAACCCCTCACGTAGTGGCCCAACCGGCCACACCTGAAGCAGGCCACGCATGGTCATTGAGTTCCGCAGTCATCACCCCAACGTGGTCTGTTGAACTCTCGGCGGCATGCAGCGTCGCCTCATCTTCGATCAAAATGTGGAACTTCTGCCGCGAGATCACCCTCGGAAGCCGTGTCTTCAGGCGGAACATGAACAACTTTAGGTGACCGACCATTAGGCTCCCCGTTCCGGCTAGGATCACCCATCCATGCAGTCATCTGCAACCACCGCTGTAGGCTCTCATGTGCGTGAAGGCATCTGGCGGCCCATGGAGATGACTGCACATCGTGACAGCACGCCGGCAGAACCACCCCCATGTCACTTGCTAGAACCAACATCTGCTCCATGACCAACGAGTCAAGGGCCTCTTGTTTAACATCAGGGTTTGGTGGCCACAGCCAACGCCATCAGAACAATACGGCAGGCGAGAGGAGACTCAGAGCTCCCCCGCCTCTGTTGCATGAACTTTTGTTGGGTATCGGAAGGTGGTTAGTAGACCTCCACCATCTTGGCATACGCACCTTGTAATGTATTCTTCCTTTCAGGGGGAATCGACCTGAACACCGCTAGAGCATCGTCATCCAAGACAGTCGGCAGAGCAACCAAAGCCTCTTCATCTGACCAATGTACTGACCGGAATGCCGCCTTGAACCGCCAAGTAAAGGCGCTCCAATCGCCGCCAGCAGCAACAAATTCTTTGACGTGCAGAAGCCGGCGGGTGCGCACGGCCCCGTCACATCCAACTGCAGCAGCGGCCCCCGCAGGTTGCGCACCATGCGGCTCTTCTAAAATGGCGGGCTGCGGCCGCGCCCTTGCCGCGCCGCCTAAGATGGCGGCGTCCTGCTGCGTGGCCTCTGTAGCGTGCATAATGGCGGATGTCTCTTCAGCGCCCGCGACGGCAGACTTTGTTTCCGCAGGGGGACCCTCCGAGGCTCCAGTCCCAAGCCTCTGCACGTCACCCCTCGGCAATACCTCAGGTCGGCGCCCCGTCACCGTAGATGACGCGATGAGCGACACCAGCTGGAGAAGCACCGTCCGTAGCGAATCCAGCTGCTCCTCCACTCTTTGAGCCGTCATCCGCCCGATGTGGCGAAGATGCCGCAGCCGCGCCGTTTGCCCCTGGTGCGGTGACCTCACCAGCCGTGGTTCCTGTGACCGGGACCACAGATCCCCGGGTCAGCAGGTCCTGGGTCCCCGCCTCTTCATCGTCGGAAGATGCAACAGGTGGGTTCTTCTTCTTGAGATGCTTGGACATTTTCCGTGTCTAGGACTACTTCTGACACCACTGTAATAAACGACTTCCACGACGATCTTGACTGGTGTCTTTATTGATAGAATTCCTGCACAGCTAACTCCTGCTCTCCCCGAAAAATTCCCTTCTCTCCACTGACGGGGACGAGCCATTCTCTCTGTTCCACCATTGAAGTTCGCCTCTCTCTGACTCCCCGATCCCGCCGCTGGCTGGCGGCGTGCCGGGAGGAGAGGCGGCTTCGCTGGGGATCCGCCACGTGGTCGATGGCGAGGAGAGGCTTCTGCAGTGACGCGGTCCAGACTTGAGGCTTCACACGCCGACCACGAGTCCTCCCCTGCCTCCGCTTATGTTCCTCTCGGCGGAGCAAAGCTCCGCCTCTAGCCACGCCCCCTCGTGGAAACTTCTCGATGGTTCCCGCACGTTCCTCTTGACTCCGCCCAATTCCCTTGGCCCAGATATATCCCCACTTAGGATTGGATACCCGTTACCCGGTGGTGGCCGTGCAGTTACCACTTGCCGCCCACTAGATGGCGCTCTCTCATTACAAGAGTAAACAAATGCAGGGCTCTACCATTATTAAAAAAAGATCTAATGGACATTCGTTTTACATTTTCATATTGTTGTGCTTGGATATATTAAAAAGTGCAAAGACAAATATAGCATCAGATTTTTTCATTTGACAGCCAGTTTTTTTCAATTTGTGCCTCCTCCCTGAACTTGGAAAGGAGGATGTTAAACTTTGTGTGTTTGGAACCAACGTGAAAGTTTGCATTTTGAGGATTTAAAGTATGCCAAATTAAAATATGGCATTCGATTTTTTTTATCAGAAAAAACATGTTTTGATTTTGGTTTCTCCAAATGTTTGAGGCTGAGAATGTTGAAAACTGAGAATTCATTTTATGCAGCGAAAGGGAAAGACTGTTGACTGAACATGTATTACACATTTAAAATCAGAAAACATATTTTAGGTACCTTTGGCCTCAAACATTGGGTGGGGTTGTCGTATTTGTAAAATGTATTGTTTCACACCTGTCCCCATGCAGAGTTGCATTTGGACTTTTGTTCCAAATATAACGTGACATTTTAAATAACAAAACAACTCGTGTACTCTCTGTCATCGTGTAAGGCGAATGCTGATATGAAGTTGCCAAATTTAGTTACAAATTACTAATGTATAAAACACAATGCTACAAAAGTGTACATGTCAGTATTCTAACTTGTGTTTATGATCTTTCCCCATCCACTATTCAATTTTTACTTGCAGAACAAGCTGGCGCCGAAAACCTCAGTACCAGTGCCTGAATTTTATCATTCCATTTATGGAAAATCATTACCATTTATCACGCCATCCGATTATGTCAAAATTATCGAAATCATTAAGAAACCCAAAGCAAATGCCAACCAGGCATTAGCTATTGTTAACATGCTTCTTCCATATATCATGCAAGTCATAAAGATGTGGGGAGTTAGTATTCTACATCCTGTAAATATCAGTGAGCTCGCTTCAGATAATATGGAAACATGCCGCAGTAGCCAGTCTTGCAAAAGTCCTACTTTTGCAAAAAGATCGAGCAAGGCAGCTGCTTCTTCCCTTGCATCACAGACACGGGCGTTGAATAAAGTTCCATTGTCTAGACTTGACTGTCTCGTTGCTCTACTCAGTTCTGCTGATTGCACTGTGGTACAAGATCTCATTCAGATCCTGAGCAAATTCCCAGTAGCGTTGCCGCTGGTGATGCCCAACCTGGAGAAGAAAGGCGAATACAAAGTGATGCTCCCCCTGCTCACTGGAAACACCGTAAAGTGGGAGGTTCAATCAGGTGTCATCATTGAGAACAACATCTTCACCAATCCTTTCGTACTGATTTTGGCTGTTCGTCTTGGCAATAGCACGTGCGGGAAAAGCACGATCCTCAACCAGCTCATGGCCGTGGAGAACATGTTCTCATCGTGTGGAGAACCTGGAGCTCGACGGGGACGCCCTTTGACGCTGGATGGAACGGTCGAGTTCACGTGGCTCACCAAGGAGACCTGCGGGGCTGGGCTGTGGAATTCCGTCCTGCAGCAGTTTTATGCACGTGGAGGGAGCGAGGTTGTGCTGCTGGCCAATCTTCACGGTGATGCCTCTGAATACCCTGAAGTTATCCAGTTCTTCAAGAATTTAGCATCAACCTACGTGGTGTTTATGATGCCAGAAAAGGGGGAACTTCAGGAAGAGAAATGGAAAAAATTTGTCCAATGCTCTGGTTCACGAGAGAACATCCATTATCTTATGGTGGATCCTGATGAAGACTGCAATGAACCAGAAGAGAGTGTTATTCAAACGACGAGGCTCACAAATGATGACACATTACAGAAAGTACGAGCTCTTTTAAAAAATGCCTTAACATCAGTTGCACCCAAAATGATTACTGTCTCAAATCCAGATATGTCCAAAATTGGTAAAACGCTGCAAGTAATAGAGGGTGTTTGCTGCAATCCATCACAAAATGTTATAAAATTCATCATTGAAAAAACTTGCCAAGAGACAAGGAATTATATGCAATTTCAAATTAGAAACTCGGTCGAACGAAATAGCAATGAATTATGGGAAGGCAATGAAGTTTTGCAAACACTGATACACTTATATGTTGAAGTTTTGAGGCTCCCTCTATCAGAACGACTAAAAGCGATGGCTCATCTCGAGCAAAGTATTTCCCAGCTCTCAAATTCTGAGTCCTCAAAACTGAGACAAATTGTTATAGCAGACAAAGAAGAGCTTGAACGTCAAATACTCTTGAATGGCCAAAACAAGTTGACGATTAATAAAATGAAAGAACACATCAATACAAACATGAAGAAGTTGGATAATAAGTCGCTTGGTCCAGAGCATTTTTTTCGCGAGTTGGGTCACATATACGAATTGACAAACGAGGGCCAAAGAGAGAGTGGAGCTCTTTTTGAATGTCCTACTTCATACGCCGAGCTGCTAATGAGTGGCCACGCCATTGAGCTGCTAAACGGCGACACTGGAGAAATGCCGGGTGCTTGGCTGACGGCGATTTGCAACCACGTCACAAAAGCATTCCCAAATTTGCGCATATTTGTTCTTTCAATACTAGGATTGCAGTCTTCTGGAAAGTCCACACTCCTGAATGCCCTCTTTGCCTGCAAGTTCGCAGTGTCTGTTGGTCGCTGCACTCGCGGTCTCTTTATGCGGCTGCTGTTCCTGGAGGAGAAACTCAGTGAAAGACTGAACGCTGATGCAATCCTGCTCATTGACACGGAGGGGCTTGGAGCGCCAGAAAAAATGAATGATGATGATGCAGAAAAAAGGGACCGAATGCTGGCAACGTTTGCTATGAGCGTTAGCAACCTGACCATCATAAATATCCTCGGGGAGTACATGAGGGAATTGACTGAGATTCTGCAGATTGCAATTGTGGCGATGGCACGGCTGGAAATGGCTAAAATGTCTCCAGACATTTTCATGGTTCAGCATCTGACAGAGAGAAACACATCAAAGACCTCTTCAGGGCATGAACAGTTCTGCAAAGCTCTGCAAAAAGCACTAGAGTTCACAAAAGAAAAAGACGTTGACATGGAACTATTAGATGTGAATTGCTTGACAAATCTAGCTGACAGAATCAAGAAAGGAGAGCTTCTGAAACAGTTCCGCCCCTTTAAGAATGGGGCAAGTGCCGGTGCCCCACCGTCAGAAGAATACCACAATGACGTGGTGGATCTTTATAAAACCATCCTAAACGCATGTCAGAAGTCAGAAAATAAGATACCATTCAGGGATTGGCATTCACTTGTACAGAGCTATTGGAATTGCGTCTCACATGAAAATTTTATTGTTCGATTTAAAAACATCAAGGAGATGTATGAGTTCATAGATCATGGTCAGCGAATTGCCAGGTTAAAGGAAAGAATAGACGGAGCGTTTTTTGTACACGTGGAAGCCATGAGACGTCAAATACGAGCTGCAGTGACACATTGGACACCAGAAGAGCAACCACGCATGTGTGAATTGCTTTTAAAAGGGTTTAAGAAGGAATTAAATGCAGTTCCAATTAATTGTCAAAAGGACAATTCTAATAATTTGGGATGTGGAAAATGTACAGAAGTCATAACAGAGACAAGCATATTAGATAATTATGTTACAGAAAAAGAGTGTGGACCTGAAATTATGGATACAATTGATGCCTATACCAAGCAAGTCCGCCAGTCTGCTTTGATAACTCTCACACAAATATTAGATGCCACAGTTGTGCGACACGGTTGCTCACTGGAGTTCATGGAGGAGATTACACGCAGCCTGAATGATGCATTAAGTCAAAGTCCAGCTGGTCAATTCACTGTGCCTGAACGCAAGACACAAGTAAACAAAATATGGGCATCTCTTGTAGAAATCACCAAGTCCAAAGAAAGAAGTGCCCCTGATTGTGACAAAATGGCAGAAGAAATATCTAAAGAATATTCAATGACACAAATGTGTATCAGTGGAGGTTTTGAGGAACTGCAGCTACATTGTTTGGGCGAATTAGAAGCATATCAAAAGTCAAAATTGTATTACCTAGTCCGTAACCAAACAAAAATGAGTGGTGATGAGATCTCCTGGCTCAAAAATGAACTTGATAAAATCCCAAAGTCAATTCTTCATGACAAAGAAGCGGAGCACTTTGAAACAGGCATGATTCGTTCTCTGAAAATTAGAGTAGACAACATTCTCCAACAGTTTGAAAAACATTTTAAGAAGAAATTTATCATTAAGTTCAGATCGAATTTTCACCTCTATACTCTGCAGAAATTTGGCCACCTCATGTCGATGTGTCAAAAGGAATGGGAAAAGAAACACAGTCCGACTTCAATATTGCATCAAAGAAAGGAGGAATTAAAATCACTCATAGATCTTCGCCTACAGCACGGCTTCACATCTGCTTCTGAAGGACGTATCATTTCCAAATATCTTCTGGAGGCAATTAAACAGAAATCGTTGAAAGCTGGGAATTCCGAGAAAGTTCAAGCTGTGCTCGACCTCCAGTGGACAACCAATAGCGAGAAGGTGCGGCTTCGGTATTTTGAGCAGTTTGCTTCCCAGGTGAATAACGGTAAAAAAGAAGAGGCGCTTAAGCATTTTGAGGATCCAAAGCAAGCAATAAACAAGTGGTTTACTCAGACAATTAATCATCATGCTCGTAGTAAGGAGACGACACAATGCAAGAAAACATTTAAAAGTGAGTTCCAGCGTGTTCTTCAGAAAGTCGGAAGTTGTTCAGATGTTAGGGAAGTTATCACTTTCACCCAACGTTACTTGACAGATGTAGAGAATGTCGAATACAAAAGTGGTATTGAAAACCAAAAAATAGCCCAGGGCGACTTGGAAATATTAAAAGACAGCATCCAACGTGGGCTTAATGAATCAGAGTCAACAGTGGACTGCACACAGTTGATGTTCACAGATCCATCGACGGATGAGACAGTGATGCGACGTCTAGGTTGCACGGAGAAGTGTTTTTGGTGTGGAGCTCTCTGCTGGGGATCTCGTGGACACGATAACAACGCGGACGAAACAAGAAAACACCATACCTGTCACCAACCACGTGGCCTTGGTTATACAAATTATAAAAACACTACTAATTTAGTCGCACGGCCTTGCCATTTAACGTCAGATGATACAACAGTCATTTGGGGAAATAATGAAATGAAGTGGTCTGCTGCGAAGCAAACAGAGTTCAGTCATTGGAAATTCGACGCCCATTGCAATAATAAATTTGATGAGCTCATGCGTTGGTTCTTTCAAGAATTGCACAAAGATATTGCTGAGTCTATAAAATTGCTTCCAGCATTAGAAGACGAGTTGAAGATGTACAAATGTGAAAACCTTCATCTTGCACCCATACTATCGACAATTCGAGAGTTAATCAAATAGTATGCAGGGCCTTAATATGGGGATGGTTAACCAACCGAAAACATGCATTACATCGTCATTGGATGATTACAAGTGTCCAATTATCATCTTAAGAATTCTGGATGAAGGCCTCCCCAAGTCATCATCTGACAAGATATATCTTTTTTTTATTTTTGTCTACAACCTTATTTTTTAAATCTCCATATATATTTTCATTTCCAATCCCTTTTCCGCTGCCCCATGCTACCACCGAACCGTTGCCAGACCTCACTTCCACATCGCCGCTCCTCAATGCCGACGAATCCTGTCTTTACCCTGGTGTTCGTGTAACGCTGTTTTTTTCCCCTTCCACATTTTTTAGCATTTAAGTGTGACGATGGCACTTTGAGTGACATATTCGTGCCAGAACCGTGCCACGTGTAATTTTTGCGCCAAATTTATTGAGGAACATTTCGCCGATCGTGCCCACCTGTGGCTCGACTATTCATGGTAGACCACTCAGATTCCTGTACTCATCGTAACTGCACTGCTCGCGATGATGCTGCCGCAGAAGAACACACGCGCCATCTTGTCTCCATCTCGTCTCCCAAGCGGCCCATCGTGGGTCCCCGGCCACGCGGTGATCCCAGCCTCCAGTGAGGAGGCAGCGGAATTCAGGCACTGCGATTCGTCTCCCTGTAGTGTACACAACTGTACACGGATACCATGTGTACAATGCCACGTGTAGAATACTGTACAATAGTGTACACAGTATCAGTGTACAGTACTGTAAAGGGTGGTTCCGATGGCTTGTGGCCCCAATTAATTGACCCCTAACATGTTCCCTTTGCATATCCATTTCCGTTTAAAATAAATCTTCTTTTAAAATATATATATTAAGTTTTAGAGAATTAAATGGGTGTTACAAGACATCTGGACTACCCTGTACAGTATTGTATATGGGTACGTATACAGTATTGTACACTACATTTTTTTTTTCTACACATTTACCCTACAAGTTACATTTAACAGTGACAAATATTTATATTTTACATTACTTCCTATTTTCAAGAACTTAACCCCCACAATGGGCAAGGGTTTGCTGTACATCAGGGGCATAAAATGTGCGTACTTACAGAGGATGGTAGAAATGTTATTGCAAGAAAGTGCCATCAGCACTAAGCAATAAACATTGCATGTAAATAATGTCCAGGATTGTGATTGTGGTGCACGCACGGGTAATGGTGGACAGGTTACCCAGGTACCAGGGGCTTGGCGACAAATGAAAATAATGACATCGTTAATATTATCTATGTGGTGGTTATATGGCTTGGTAGCCAGTGGAAGGATAATAAATAATATACTGAAATTATTTAGGGGAAGGGGTGTCGATTTTTCAACTTTCACTATATCACATAGAAGGCGGAAATATAACAGGTGCAGTGGCTGATTATAAATGACCATTAGGTATTTAAAAAACGCTAGATTTTAGATGTTTTTAGTCATAAACCATTTATTTCAGTTAAAGGCCTTCATTTTTGCTGTTATTTTTTTCCTTTTTTATAATCAATGTTATAAAACAGACCACATTTTATTCCTGTTATTTTGGTGTGTGGCCTTAAACGCAATACTTGCATGATTAATTATGATAATTATTAGGACAATTCCAAATCACATTAACATGTCCTTAAAATCAAGGCTTTTTTAGGTAAATAGGTGTTGGTTTTGCCACTTTTACGACATCACAGAACGCCGGAAGATGACATTTGGGTGTGGTGCCTGGTAAACATATAAATGACTATTACGTCTTTTAAAAATATTAGATATTCGATTTTTTTTATCAAAAACGATAACCATGTATTACAGTTAAAGGCTTTATATATCCACTAGCTGTACTACCCGGCTTCGCCCGGGACTTGTATCTACCACGGCCGGCCGCCTTTGTCTCCCCAGTGGCGATGTTAATACGCTACAGCAGTTACTCGTTTGAGGCAGAGTCGACCTAGGGGAGGTTCAAATAATCGTCACCGGTGGTGGCCGTGAGCGGGAATCGAACTGGGTTCGCCGGGTTGGTAGCGCAGCGTAGCGTTAAGCACTACACCCACCGCTCCTCACACACCACACACGCACAGACACACACACAGACACACACACAGACACACGCAGACACACACAGACAGAGACACACACGCACACAGACAGCACGCTAAGCACTACACTACCGCTCCCCACACACCACACACGCACACACACAGACACACACACAGACACACACACACAGACAGCACGCTAAGCACTACACTACCGTTCCCCCTACACAACACACGCGCGCGCGTCCATAGGTACACATACACGCGCTTGCTGCAGACACACACGACTTTCAGGGTGCGTACGGCAGTAAACGACTGAAATAATAAAGCGGCAATGCTGTGTAAGGAACGCCTTAGACCCGCATTACACATTTGTGTAATGCGAGCGTAAACACACAAACACACACAAACACATACACAATGCACACACACATACATGCAGACACACAGACAGACACATAACACACATACATACACACACATACAAACACAGAAACACATACACACACATACATAGACACACACATACATACACACAAACACATCCACAGACGTACATACACACATACATACAGGCACGCAGACATACACATAAACACATACAAAAAAACCCACATACATACACACACACATACATACACACAAACACATACATACACACATGCATACAGACACACAGACATACACATAAACACATACACACATACACATGACCCGGCTTCGCCCGGGACTTGGATCCACCACGCCCGGCCGCCTTTGTCTCCCCAGTGCCGATGTTAATACGCAACACCAGTTACTCGTTTGAGGCTGAGTCGACCTAGGGGAGGTTCAAATAATCGTCACCGGTGGTGGCCGTGAGCGGGAATCGAACTCGGTTCGCCGGGTTGGTAGCGCAGCGTAGCGTTAAGCACTACACCCACCGCTCCTCACACACCACACACGCACAGACACACACACAGACACACACACAGACACACGCAGACACACACAGACAGACACAGACAGACAAACACACACACAGACACACAGACAGCACGCTAAGCACTACACTATCGCTCCCCACACACCACACACGCACACACACAGACACACACACAGACACACACACACAGACAGCACGCTAAGCACTACACTACCGTTCCCCCTACACAACACACGCGCGCGCGTCCATAGGAACACATACACGCGCTTGCTGCAGACACACACGACTTTCAGGGTGCGCACGGCAGTAAACGACTGCAATAATAAAGCGGCAATGCTGCGTGAGGAACGCCTTAGACCTGCAACACATTCGTGTAATGCGAGCGTAAACACACAAACACATTTCGATTTAAAGCTTTCGTGACTGCAGGGATTCATCTTCTTGTTTCTTTCGGTAAAGTCACGTAGAAGGGAAGTAATAAAATAATAAAAATAAAACATAATAAAACAATTCTCACGACGTTTCGGCTACAACGCAAGCAGCCGTCTTCAGGTGAAGAATGAGACACTACCAAACTAGGAGCTTATATATAAGCTGCATTGGGGGTTGAAGAGCGCCTTAACAAAAATAATGTGCATGTGAAGAGGAATTTAGCATATTCATGGAAAATGCGTAGGCGTTGGGCGGGGGGGTGTCAAAGTCATATTATGCCCATGCAATATGCAGGATCAGCAGCAACCAAGGGGGGTGCAGGGATTAGCAGTAACAAAGGAAAGGAATGTTAATGATATGTAGCTGCAGTTACTCAACAACCACGTAGAAAACTAAAGTATAAACTACATAAAAAACTAAAGTATAAACTGCATCGCACCATCAGTATACTTACTATACTCTATAATAAGCTGAGTTACTAACAGCAAGTAATACATTACAATTCTACCTCGTAAAAATTCTATAATATGCTTCCATCTAAACCTTATTCTCTTACATCACACGAGCATATACCGTACTATATACTGCCATAGATAAACCCAACATTAAATTATATACTGTATTGCTGTAAACCAACCTATATCTTATACATTTAATATAACACTATGTATTATTCTACACACCCTAATGTGTATCGAAATGGTTTATTACGTCCTTCCAATGATTGCTGAGCCAGAATCCATCTTCTCGGTTAAAATTGTCTCTGTGTTTGTATATGTGGATCGCCTCATGAACGAATCTCTCATGATAGCCAGATGGCTTGCAGAGAACCTCTGTCTTGGAGAAGTCAATATCATGTGAGCCCACTGAGTTGTAACAGTGATCTGCCACGGCTGAGGTGTTTGTCCTACCGTGTTTCAGGTCAGCTTTATGTTCACGGATGCGGTCCGAGACATGTCGTTTGGTTTCCCCAATGTAACTGCTACCACAGAGGCAACTTAGTTTGTAGACGCCAGGGTACTGTATGTCTGGAACCACATCTTTTACAGACGGTACCAGATCACGGATTTTATGTACTGTGTTGAATCGGACCTGGATCTTGTGTTTAATCAGGATTTTGGAGATCTTTTTTGTGACCCCAGCAATGTAGGGTAAGGTGATGGTCTTGAAAGGCTCCTCAACAGGATCCTTCTTGATGGTTGGAGTGATGGCTTTGCGGATTGTATAGTCGGAGTAACCATTTGCCTTAAGAGCTTGGCGTACGTGTTTGAGTTCACTGGAAATGTGTTCATGGTCGGAGATGCATTGGGCTCTATGATATAGAGTCTTGATGAGGGAATTCTTCTGGGATGGATGGTGGTGGGAATCCGGTTTTAGATAAGCATCCGTGTGGGTGGCTTTCCTGTAGACAGAGTGGCTCATTGAACCATCAGGTCTCCTTTTGATTAGGACATCCAAAAAGGGTAGCTTGCCATCATTTTCGACTTCCATGGTGAATCTGATGGCTGGGTGTATGGAATTGATGTGGTCGAGAAATTGGTCTAGAGCAGGCCGGCCATGTGGCCAGATGACAAAAGTGTCGTCTACGTACCTCTTCCATAAGGTCGAGCGTAGAGTGGCAGTCTGGATAGCGTCCGTCTCAAATTTCTCCATGAAGATGTTGGCTACAACCGGAGATAGGGGGGAGCCCATTGGGGTGCCCTCAATTTGCTTGTAGAAGGTTCCATTCCAGGTGAAGTATGTATTGGTTAAGCAGTGTCTCACCAGGGGGGGTACCCCAGCATTCAGTCCTTGATGAACCAAGTCTTCAATGATTGCGATGGTGTCAGGCACAGGTACCTTGGTGAACAAGGAAACCACATCAAAACTGACAAGCAGGTCGTCTGGGGACAGGGCAATCCCCTTGATTGTCGATACCAGGTCAGTAGAGTTTAGTACTGCAGAGGTGGTTTTTCCAGTGAAAGGCCGTAGGATTTCGGACAAAAAACGAGCCAGTTTGTAAGTGGGGGAGTTTATAGTAGAGACAATGGGACGAAGAGGTGTATCTTCTTTATGTATCTTTGGCAAGCCGTACAATCTTGGTGGTCTGGCTGCAGAAGGTTTCAACGAGAACTGTTTGGTCTGATCAATTAATGCGGTTGAAGCAGAAATGATGTTGTTGGTTTTGGAGACGAGGCTGTTGGTGGGGTCTCTTTTTATTTTTGTATAGCTGCCATCGTTTAATAGTTCTTGAATTTTGTTGTTGTATTCTATTTTGTCCATGATGACAGTGGCATTGCCTTTGTCGGCTGAGAGGATGACAATGTCATCCCTCTTTTTTAATTGAGCTAATTCAAAACGCTCCTCTTTGCTGATGTTGCTAGCTGGCATCTTAGCGTTTTTGAGGGTTACAGAGATTTCAGATCTTGCTACGTCTGCAGCGATGTGACTCAAGCCCTTGAGAGCTACATCTACTCGAGCAATTATATCATTAACTGGTATGTGTCTAGGTGTGACTGCAAAGTTTAGTCCTTTAGCTAAAACGGATTTCAAACCTTCAGAAATAGGACTGTTACTGCGATTAATTACGACTTTGTTAATATCTAGCTTTTCAATGTGTGGGTCCGGTTTCTTGTTTGAGAGGCGATTGAATTTGGAAATCAAGTTGTCCTTACATTTAGTCGACATAGCGGCAGCTGAAGAGGCAGTCATTTTTTCCACATGTTCCCAATCCGATGTGGACATTGTTACACTCAAAGATAAGTGTGATTTGTAGAGTGTCTTGTCTAACTGATCTAGTTCGGTGCGCGTAAGTCTGATTTTCTCTGAGATAAGAGCTAAGCTAGTTCTAGACAGAATTCGTTTCGCATTAGAAGAAGTTACAGCAGCAGATGTTAGTGTAAATGCGTTTGGTATTACCTTAGAGTCGCGGCATCTCTTCAGAAAGGTGAGAGACTCGATTAGCTGAGCCTTCTTATCCCGGAGCTTGTTGAAGGATCTCAAAGTTATGTGGAAACCCTCCCCGTAGAGGCGGTTAAATTTCGATTTAAAGCTTTCGTGACTGCAGGGATTCATCTTCTTGTTTCTTTCGGTAAAGTCACGTAGAAGGGAAGTAATAAAATAATAAAAATAAAACATAATAAAACAATTCTCACGACGTTTCGGCTACAACGCAAGCAGCCGTCTTCAGGTGAAGAATGAGACACTACCAAACTAGGAGCTTATATATAAGCTGCATTGGGGGTTGAAGAGCGCCTTAACAAAAAGAATGTGCATGTGAAGAGGAATTTAGCATATTCATGGTAAATGCGTAGGCGTTGGGCGGGGGGGTGTCAAAGTCATATTATGCCCATGCAATATGCAGGATCAGCAGCAACCAAGGGGGGTGCAGGGATTAGCAGTAACAAAGGAAAGGAATGTTAATGATATGTAGCTGCAGTTACTCAACAACCACGTAGAAAACTAAAGTATAAACTACATAAAAAACTAAAGTATAAACTGCATCGCACCATCAGTATACTTACTATACTCTATAATAAGCTGAGTTACTAACAGCAAGTAATACATTACAATTCTACCTCGTAAAAATTCTATAATATGCTTCCATCTAAACCTTATTCTCTTACATCACACGAGCATATACCGTACTATATACTGCCATAGATAAACCCAACATTAAATTATATACTGTATTGCTGTAAACCAACCTATATCTTATACATTTAATATAA